ACATTTTTTGCAATAAAAAAAAAAAAATTTATAACACAAAGGCTTTCATTAGAGTGAAGTCTTCTTCTTCTGAAAAAAAAACGATAGGACCGAAAGCAGTGGTTTTTTTGTATCTATTTTTAATCTTTATAAAAAAAAACTTAATGGTCAAGAGATTCAGTGGTCACAAAAGAATATTGATAAAGGGAAAAAAAAAAGAAAAGATAAGAAACACAGTTGTTTACTGAACTCAAATTCTCATCATTCAAAAAAAAATTTAAGCAGTTTAAATGTAGAAGAAGAACAAGAAGAGCAAGAAGTAAGAAAAAAAAAAAAACCGATAAAAAACAGGGCAACAATACGACAAAACAGCGACAAAATGCAAAAAAAAACTTGTCAGCCCTTGCTCTTCATCAGAAACAAAGCGAATGAAATAGCAAAAAAAAAAAAGATTTGACGAAGACGGAACCATGAATTCACGATAAACTCTTATCACTTGAAAAAAAAATGTTACTTGCAGGTGGCGTGGGCCTTATAGCAGTCTATGTGAGATCCTTAACATATTAAAACGTCTCGCTTTTATTAAATTTCCCACTTTATATCTGTACAATATAGAAAAAAAAAGTTTACAAATATCCCATTTTCGATATTCTGGTTGAATCGGCTTATGAACAAAAAAAAAGAAAACGAGGCTCGGAGGAAATACATTTTTTTTAAATCCGTTATTTTCCAAAAAAAAATTGAGTATTTTTATGTGCACGTGAGTGGTTAGTGGACGGAAATATCGAAAAAAAAAAACAAAACGCGCGCTTAGTAGTTGATATTAATAAGATCGATATAGACTAAGAAAAAAAAAGCTTAGATTAAAGTTTCATTCACATGTTAATCGTAGAGGTGTTTTTATTGCTTTAATCCTCAATTCCTGTTACTGCATAGAGAGTCCCCCAAAAAGTTAAAAAGAAAAAAAAAAAAGATTATCCATAAATGAAGCTTTACAAAATACATTTAAAACTTGTAACTTGGTTTCCACTTTTTTTTGTGCGTTTCGGGCATTCGCCCTTCTTCAGCAAACATATAAGTAAAAAAAAAGAATAATCCTTGGGTTCCAATCACATGATCAAGAATCCCATATAAAGATAAAAAAAAAATATTGGATGACCAATGCATTGTGCGATGACGTAACGTGAAACCGAGGAAAAAAAAAATCAAATAAAAGTAATGAGACACCAAGCCATTATTTTACATATATATATAAAAAAAAAATTTTTATTTGCGGCCTTCAATTAAAGTCTTAACTTCCTTTAGTATACGTAAAAAAAAAATTTTGGTTCACTCGCCACTAGTAAAATAATCTATCCAGGGAAAATCAGAAAAAAAAAATTTTCGTCAACAAAGCATGATGGCAATTGTAGGCTCGTATATACGTTTAAAAAAAAAAAAAAATGCTCTTTTAAAGAGTATTTTACATTTCGTTGCCAAAATATTTAAAAAAAAACCGTTTCTCTAAAGAAAACACGAAAACGAAGTTTGAGGAAAGAAATGCGACTAAAAGCCCGTTCACGATTGTCATGCGACCTTCGCCTTTTATGAACATGCTTGAAAAAAAAAAAAAACTCCGCGGCGATTTTCGATCGACGCAACAATCGCAGGCCTTAGGTGCGCGATAGACAATCGCGATGCAAAAATCGCAAGTGTAAACCGTGGGGCTTAATAGTTCCAAAAAAAAATATTATACACAATGACGGCGCTGCTGGAAATTACACAAGATAGCAAAGCAAAAAAAAACCTGTAACTTCACAAAACAAAAGGTTTCAATTTCGTCTGTGCAGGATGTAAAAAAAAATTAATGTTCCCACGTTTATAAGCACTTTATCAGTGACTGCTATTATGCTAAAAAAAAATGGTATAGATTAGATGAAGACAAAGGCTCGTGAAGAATGATACAATCAAAAAAAAAAACGGACTTGACGGTTTTAAGAGAAGTCATTATAAACAGGAGTTTACTGTTAAAAAAAAAAGATAAGTCATCCAGTTATGAAAGTGCTTCAAACCCTACTCAGAAAAGGAAAAAAAAAGTTTAACTTATCATAATCGAGACGATGTTTTAAAAGGTGTTACTAACGGAAAAAAAAAGGGGAGGGGACCGAAGGGGACGAAGGTGCAATTATAAAAAAAGACAAGAAAAAAAAAAAAAATAGAATACGGCGTTTCTAAACGTTAATCAGCATGAATAATTACGGAAAAAAAAAGTCAGGCAATCGCNAAACATTCTATTGTTTTAAAACGCTATGTATTAATGATCGATGGAGGAGATCATGTGAGTGCATATCATGTATAATGCACATGAGAAATATACTTCAAAACACAATAGTCAGGTCTCAAAATAACGGCCGGTCAAAGGACAATGTCCTTCAAAATTCGCTAGATGACCGGCCAAATCGGGTTTTGAAAGGACAAATTGATTCACCTGCCACATTTGGACAAATCAATTCTCAATTCGCTAAACAAATCTTTTACATGTCATTAAAATGCTTGTCAGGCTTTCTGAATACAAAAACCTATGGTCACAGCACGGAGGTACCGTGTTTTTTACACAGTCATACGAAATCCACTCTATAGAAATTATAATATATTATCAACACTGGATTTTAGCCTGTGTAAATCTATTCCCACCTCTCCCTCCSCTCTAAATCCCCTATGGGGAGGGGTGGGGCTTGCATTTTGACTTTTGTACTTCTAAACTTACGACAATGTTACAAGCAAAATTTTTGATACCAAATCAGGGATCATTTGAAACAGTCAAATAWATTCATTATTTTTATTATCATCAAACAAACATAYTTTTGTCAGCAGTCAGTGAATTMTTTTGATCACTGAATATGCTAACTGGAAAGTCTTTGGCTAACCCAAATGCTGTCAGTCTCCAGCTTTCCAAAACCAATATCATGTTGAATTTATCAAATGAGTYATGTGGATATTAAATAATCCCAACCAACCACAATATAGCGGTCATGTTATTGTTTACACGTTTAAGTGTGTCAAGTATACAATAGATTATAGATCGATAGTTCTTGTGAGGTACTTAGTCAAAGGTATTTCTGTCCATACGGAAAGGATTGAAGATGATTCACGCTCACTATACAGGCATGTCAGAATTATGCGCGGATGTGGACCCGCATAATTGCTCCCTTTCCGCATAATTTACCAAATTGCGCATAATCTGGACACTACATAGCAGATCATGTGACAAATTCCAAGATGGCGTACGGTAAGTGAGACGTAATGCTCGCGAGAATTGAAAAAGTCTAAAAATATATTTCCTTCGGTTGATACTGCCTTCGTAACTAAAGATAAAACCGTAGTTT